TGGTCGCCCAGGAACACTCCGTCTGGCCAGCGGACAGATACAAACAAAAGACCTCACCTGCCGGCCGTGACAGTGGGTCGAATGAGCGAAGAAGGAAGAGGGTGCGCCCGTCAGAGAACTCGCAGGGCCCTCCGTCAGGTGGAGGGGTCAGCAGGCCTGTGCCCAGATGACCCTCATAGGGGGGCAAAACTGGATGTGGCCTTGAGATTCACGGGTTTGAGGGCCGAGTTAGCAGCATCGCCTTGGCGGGTCAGTGGTCAGAGGAGAGGGGCTGATGCAGGAGGCTGACGGAGGGAGCGGTGGACGGAAGGCGGCCGGCGTGTCCCACGCTTCTGCGTGGCTCCTGCACGAAGCCCTCCTCCCCCCAGGAGGGGCTGCGAGACGCCAGACGGCGGGTGGCTTGGCACCGGCAGCCGCTCACGGGCCAGGGAGGAATGGGAGAGAGCAAAGGAGGTGGCAGGAGAGGGCTGCCTGATGCCTGGACATGCCTCCAGCACCCCGCTCAGAACGGGTCCAGCACCTGCTGGATGTCACGTGACCCTTCCCCATGAGGTTTGTCCCCAGCTGTGGAACTGCCGGGATGGACCAAAGGGTGGCCTAGAACTGACGGGAGGAGGAAGCCCAGGTCACCCTCTACAATGTGGCGAGGCCGACTCCCGCGCGCCCTTGGGGAACCTCGTTTTCCCAGAAGAATGAGAGAACCTGGGTGTCCTTCGGAAGAAGCAAGCCATTGTGGGAACGCGGGGGAGTGATGGCCAGCCAGTGAGGCCGCTGTTCTCTGTCCACCCCACAATTTGGGTTGCCTTTTCCAGGCTCTGTGGATGCTCACTGTTCCCCCAGCAGACGGCGGTTTGAAAGGGTCTGCACTGTGGGCTTGTGAGAAAAAGCAGCATGAAGAGGTTGGACCGGCCCCACTCTGAGGACGGTGAGGCAGCGGACAGCTGGCCAACCCCCCAGGAGACACATGCACATTGACGGACACCACGTTCCCTCGGTGGTGTGAGACCTGGGGTGGCCATTCTCAACCAACCTGGTGATCAGAATGTCCCCAGGCCCAACCCACGTGAGGAGGACACGAGGCCGTGTAACCCGTCCCACAGTCTGGCCAGTCGGGAGACACTGGGCTGACATGTGATACAGCGTTGTCGAAGGTGTGCTTGTCTTGGACTGTCCAAAGTACCTAATTCTTTTTCTCTTTTCCCTTGTCTCTAGGCACTGGGCAATCATGAATTTGATAATGGCGTGCAAGGACTGATTGATCCGCTTCTCAAAGAGGCCAAATTTCCCATTCTGAGTGCAAACATTAAAGCAAAGGGGCCACTGGCCTCTCAAATATCAGGACTTTATTTGCCATACAAGATTCTTGCTGTTGGGGATGAAGTTGTGGGAATTGTCGGATACACATCAAAAGAAACTCCTTTCCTCTCAAATCCAGGTATATTCTAATTTCATAGCGTTTTTTACTTGAAAATAGATGCATTAAGTCACAGCTTGGTCTCATATTTATGGACTGCAGACGGAAGCAGGAACAACTGGGCAGCTGGTATACTCAGGATGATGGTGACACAACCAATCTCGTGGATTCTACCTAGCTGTTCTCAGCTACTTGTGTGTTTTTTTTTGCTTCGGAGTCTCACTCTGTCGCCCAGACTGGAGTGCAGTGGCACACTCATGGCCACCCCAGTGTCGACCTGCTGGGCTCCGGTGATCCTTCTGCCTCAGCCTTCCAAGTAGCCAGAACTACAAGCGCACACTACCACGCCCGGCTAATCTTTTATTTTCTTGTAGAGATGAGATCTCGCCAAGTTGCACACGCGGGCCTCGAACCTGCGGGCTCAGGCAGTCCACTCACCTCAGCCTCCCAAAGTGCTGGGATTACAGGCTGAGCCACCAAGCCCAGCCCTCAGTTACTCCTTAAAGGCATTTCTTCTGCTGCTCGATGAACTTCTTTGACATAACAGTATCTTTAATTCTGTGTGTTCAACAGGGAAGAGAAGACCATTTCTATCTGGTGCTGGATGGTACAGACTCATTGACTAGATATTTAGGGCCACGAAGCCCACCGTGGACCCAGAAGCCCAGGGCTGGGGCTGTACCTCTGTTTACCTTCTCTCTCCTTTTCTAGTATGATTATTACATGTCCAGTTAACTCTTCTTCCTCCTTCTTCACTACTTATCTCGTTTTAATGATGTTCTTGTGTCTGGCTTTCTGAGAAATCTATATGTCTGAACGGTCTTAGATAGACACGTATATGTCCTAATATAGAAATCTATCATATATATCTTCCACATATATGTCTATATATGTATGTAATATATTTACTCACATATATGATCTTAAGACAATTAAAGAAACAGTTTTGAGCCACTTTTATAGGAACATTTTTACTGAAACACTTTGGCAATGAGAACAAAAATGATGTTTTCTCCAAATTACCCAAATTAAATCTTTCCATATTTGGAAAAAAATGGGGGGGGAAACTAGGGGCTACATTATCCAGAAGCATGAAGAATTAACCGATTGAGGACAGCCCAGAAAATAAATATCTATTGTTGTTGTTGTTGTTAGCCAGGTCCAGGCCATCTGAAACAACAACAGAAAGGTCGGCTGTGCTCGGCCCAGAGCAGCAGGCGGTCCTGAAGCTGGCACACAGGCAAAGAGGAAGGCAGGGTGGGGTGGCTGGGGCAGGTGATGAGAGGATGAGTCAGAAGCACACCTGGGGTCAGGTGGATTTGCCGAAGACCTTCTGCGGCCCCTGAGGACCGTGTAACACACCCTGGGCCAAGGACATTTCAGAGTGAGGTCAGAGTCACAAGCTAGGACCCACGTTCCATGCGGGCGGGGCCCGAAATGGTCTCATTCACTGTCCAGGAGACTGCAGTGCCCGGCATGTGGTCACTATGGTACGTCCTCAGGAAATGTTGCCAGAATGAAAACACAAGAGCAGGAAGGTGTAGGGGCACAATCCCCAAAGAGCAGACAGTTCAGTTTCCTGGAACATGGGTTCCACGTAGGGAAAGCTAGAAAGTTGGGTCAGGAGGCTGAGCGTGGTGGCTCACCCCTGTAATCGCAGTACTTTGGGAGGCCAAGGCAGGAGGATCCCTTGAGCCCAGGAGTCCGAGACCAGCCTGGGCCACACAGTGAGACCTCGTCTCTACAAAACGTCTGAAAAATTAGCTGAGCGTGGCGATGTGCGCCTGTAGTCCCAGTTACTCGAGAGGTTGAGGTGGATGGATTGCTTAAGCCCAGGAGGTTGAGGCTGTGGTGAGCCGTGACCGTGCCACTGCACTCCAGCCTCCCAACAGAGTGACGGACTGAGAATCTGTGTCTTAAAAAGAAAAAAAGTTGGAGCAACGCTTGAATGTAGGGCTGAGAAGTTCAGGTGTGCTTTGGAGGAAGGCACTACCCCTTCTTTGGTAGTCGCCAGTGAGGACGTAGGCGGCGGGGGTGTTGGTGGAGAGACACAAGCGCTCCAGAAATCAGCCTGCCTCGGCTGGGACTTTGGCCCGCCCTTTATCAGACTGTAGCACAGAGGGGACCCCAGCAGCTCCTGGAAGAGAGGGGCTGGACAGGCAGGGCCTAAAGTGGGAGAGAAGGGGTGAGTGGAACAGAAGGTTTCTGGGTGCACCTTCTTCTGTTAAGACCACGGGCGCAGCAGACCGTCGTGGGTTCTTCCTACAAATCTCTGGCCCCTAGCCAAGCCCATTCTCCCAAGTCCTAGTGGCCTGGGCACCCACAGAGGTATAGCTTGTGTTTCTAGTGCATTTAATTTGTTGTATCTAGGTCATGAAACTCCTGTAATATAACTCTCCTCATGACATCCTGAAACATACCTCAAGCTCTCTGTATGTGGGATGTCTGGTCCTGTGAGGTTTGTGATTTTTTTTTTTTTTTTTTTT